TTCACGTGTTTATGATCATGCTTTGAATTACTTGAAGAAAAAAAGTATCTACATTCGATATTGTACCGATGGAAGCCTTTTCAACCTAAGGTGACTGAAGGCCCACACTAAGGCCTTTAAATCATCTTGTCCATGAGCTGCTTTACGCTGATGATGCCGCCCTCACTGCCCACACAGAAGCAACTCTGCGGCATTTAACATCCTGCTTTGCAGAGGCTGCTGAGCTTTTTGGACTGGAAGTCAGCTTGAGGAAAACTGAAGTTTTCTATCAGCCTGCACCTCAGGAAGTTCTCCCATCATCCACTGGCAAAACAGAGCTCAAATCAGTCCAGCAATTTAATTATCTAGCAAGCATCATCTCTTCGGACAGTAAGATTGATGCAGAAATAGATAACAGGTTGGCAAAGGCATACAGAGCTTTCAGTAAACTCCATAAAAGAGTTGGCTAAACAAACACCTGAAGAAAAGTACAAAGATCAGCGCTTACAGAGCCATTGTACTGTTTACTCTTTCATATGGGTCTGAATCATGGGTCATTTACCGCCACCACTTGCGTCTCTTAGAACGCTTCCATCAGCGCTGCCTCCGTACCATCCTAAACATCCACTGGATGGATTATGTGACCAACACGTCTGTCCTTGAACAGGCAGCAGTCACGAGCATTGAGGCCATGCTGCTGAGAACTCAGCTGTGTTGGGCAGGGCACGTCTCCAGGATGCAGGACCATCGCTTCCCTAAGATCGTGCTCTATGGGGAACTTGCCACTGGCTGCTGCAAGAGAGGAGCCCCGAAAAGGAGATACAAGGACTGCCTGAAACAATCCCTCAGCCTTGGCCATATTGATCACCACCACTGGTCTCCCCTGGCCTCCAATCGAGAGGCCTGGAGACACACCACCTATAACCCTGCTGCTGCTTTTGAGAACACCTGCAGGATCACTCTTGAGGAGAAAAGACAATGCAGAAAGAATCACGTCTTGTCGATACCACCTGGGGAGTCTTTCTGCTGTACCTTCTGCAACCGGACTTGTCTATCTCGCATTGGCCTTTTTAACCATCAGCGCGCTTGTAGCAAGCGTGGGTAGAGCCCTTCTCAAATCTTCGTTCACGAAGCCTAGCCATGATGATGATGAGTTAGTTGGTGGGCCAGGTTTGGAGGAAAACAAGAGTAGATTACTCTCATGCTATGTATGATTTTTTTACCATTCATTATTCTTCAGAATAACAGTGCATTATCCTTGTAAAATGGGAAGCAGGTGAAAATTGTCTCTGTCCAAATCAGTGGCATAAATCTCCCAGTACACTTAGCCCAAGATTTTACCTCAGAAGCTTGGGATCAAGATCCACGTTATTTAACTCGCAGGACAGTGTTTGGGTGGTGTGTTTCAGTGAGGTCATTTAATAACCCTGGCACTATAGCTTTTTTGATCAGCCTTGAATTAGTTAGCAAGGACGTTTGGACCTGTGCCTTACTGTAGATGCTCTTTGACCTCTCTATTCCAAGCCTAGCAGCCAAATAAGTTCAAGTAAAATGATCCAAATGTTACAGTGCCTACTCAGGCAAAATTCACTGTTTGTTTTCCCTAGGCAAAGTTTAAATAAAAAGCAAATCAGGACTTTTGGAACTGGCTGCTTAAAAGCTGGAAGGCAACACTTTGGAGACATCCAATAGAAGATCAATATGTAAGAGTTCAGTACAGACCACTTTTTTTTTAAATTTTTTATTTTTCCTTATATATTATCTACAAGCACAAGCTTTCATATTTTTTATGTAAAAATGCATACAGATCATTATATATATATAAAATTCAACTAGACTTGTAGCAAACTGCCAGATCCAACTATCCCCAGGTTGGGGACACCTTGTCTGGATCCAGGTGCAAACCCAGTGGCTGATCCTCACTTCCATCTGTAGTTGCACCAAACCCCCAGATATGAAGATTCTCAAAGTTCTAGGGAAGTCTCAGGTCCTGATCTAGGTCTTGCAGCATGGGCATGACTACTCTTCATCAATTGAAGATAAATATTTTAAAACTTCATGAATGACAATCAACTTGTTGTAGGTAACAAGTATCCATTTCACCTTTCATCCCCTTTTTGTTGATCATCCTTCCCATCCTCTCTCCACAGAAATGGTAGCGGGCAAAGGAGAGAAACTTGATGTTAGTGCCATATGCATAGGCTTAAACAGCAGCTGAAGAAACAGAATTTAGACCACTGATGTCTGCTGCAGAAAGGCTAGCAAATGTGGGTTCATGCTGCATTTGGCCTTTTCAATGCTTGGGCAATTTTGGGCTCAATTTGCACATTGTAGACATATCAGACATTTATAGCATTGCCAATGATGTTTTGCAACATTGTGAGCAATAGAAAACCAGGTTGCATTTAATACTATGTAATGTGTATCAAAAAATACACTGTAGTAGAACTGGCTTGACAATCAGCCCATGACACCAAAGAAAAAATTAATGAGCAATTAAATAAAGAAAATTGTGTTTCTGTGGGAGGAAAGGTCACAAAATAACAGCCTTCTTTTCGATCGAGTCTTTCTCTTGGTTGGTAGCTTCCAAATTCAGTCTTTGCAAAGGAATGTTACTATTTTTATTATAGGTGCTTTACGTAACAAGTGATATTTGCACAGTGGAACATTTTATTTCACCAGGATCTTATAACTTCTCCACACAGACATTAAAAAGGAAGCTACAATTTGCTGAGATTCTTTTGGAAAGTATGAG